ATATATAACTTTAAACAATTTAACAGCAAAAAGTTGTCTACAACAATGTTGCAATTTCAAATGACAAACAATAATGCAAAGCAGAGAAAATGGAATTGCAGTGGTGTCAAACAAACATTGTTAAAGATACTCAGATTTAAAAACATGAACAATAATATGTGATTTACACAATGATTAATAAAAACTGTGGAAAGTGAGATATTACCTTCTGTTGATACAAAAACCTAACATTATTTTAGATAATCAGTTAGAAATTAATTTAACACAGGTTTGTAATTACATATTTTACCTAGAAATGTATTTCCTCTTGCCACTCATTCTGCTTTACTTTATCTCAATCTGACACACAAACACACAACCAAGGTGACACATCAGTCTTTAAGGGGTACTTGTATCATTAGACATTATTTGATGAATATTTACTTCAACTCTAAAACAAGACTGAAAAAAAAATACTGTAGGCTGTTTAGTTTTAACGATATATTTTGTTTTCAAAATTTATAAAAACCGCCTAAAACAGCCCACAGTGCCAAAATAAATAACAAAAAGTTATTACATTTGTTTTTCGTTTTGTGTCTTAAGTGTAATTTAATATTACATCCCTAAATATTGATATCCTGGCATGTAAAATTGTCCAACACTGAACCTTTTACAGATTAGGGTTTTATACAAATATTTTCAAAAACACAATTGTTCAAAAACAAAGCAAAGGATGTGTTGCAAACAACTCAACAACAATGCCTCTGTGCAAGTATTAATGTTTGATGGTTTAAAAATAAATTTAATCGCATTAATTCAAGGTAATTTTCGTGAGGTCTGTGACCATGTATTCCTGCTGCTCTGCTTCCTTCTAGTGGTCCCAAAGAGTATTGCATGATCAAGTGGTAAGGTTCAGTTACAAGGACTTGATAACTTTTAAGTCATCTATCTTGGAGCAGCTCTGATGAAATCTAAGTGTTGCTTTACGTTTCTCTATAAATTTGTGGTATTGATTTTGTTGGAGACAGACAAAAATAGACCACAGAGTTACACTGTTTATTAAGACAGCAGTGGTTTCATAGCTGAAATGATGTCAGAGAGTTATTGTGACGGCTAGCACCAGCCTTATAACTACTATAAATAAAATCTAGCATATTACGCTCCAATGTATTGTACAGAGAAGGTAAAAAAAAACAAATCTGCATAGCAATTTGTTCTGTTTTCTAGATAATTTTGTTTAAAACATGGCTTGTTGAACTGTAAACAGGCTTGTGTTGCACATGTTAGACAGCCAAATGTACCATACTATCAGGTTGCTTGTTTACTTCTGTGTTTTGAAACCATATAACACTCTTCAGTTTCCCCCTCCATGCTACAGAGTAGTGTGTGAGCTGTTACTCCCCTGATTGCAATCTCATTCTGCAACCGATACACCCCACATGCCTCTATGAGATCCTGATGCACTTTATCACAGAAATACATTGTGACTGAACTTAATTAATGCCCGTGTAAAGTGAGCCTTAATTGACTTACCTGACAAAGTGAGTTGGTTACATACAGTCATCATCAATCACATAAATGTTAGTCGTTTTTCTTTTGACCCCATGTCATATTTATTATTTCCAGCAGGTGGCGTCGGCCTTACAGTGAGTTTAACACAAATAGGCCTAACATGGAGAAACTTCACTCCACGTGCAAGCACATGACATCCTTGATCAGCAAGGCAAACCCAAAAGATGACAGCATAAAGTGGCACATTTGTAAGAAGAGACGATTGATTTTTTTTTCTTAAGTGATTACGGAGGCAGAATTTAATACATCGCTTTTGATTTCGGCTCCTTTCCTCGCTGGTACGTGCTGTGCAAACATGACACCGGCAGGTCAGGGCAAATGCAGCTCCCTTCAGAATCCTGCACTCATCATTTTAGCCAGACTGCTGTTGACCTGGTGCCAACGCTACAAAACAGGACAAGTAATTTAACTTGCCATCCCCGCCAACCTTGAAACGAGGGAATGGAGGGTACCTGCATCCCAATAAGGATGAGAGAAAGAGAAAGGTCACACGTAGCTTCTTTACCTGAAAAAGAACATAAAGCCTAAAGAATATCAATGCTTCTTTGAAAAGTAACGTTGTTTAGAATGGCTTATTTGATTTACAATTAAAATCCTTTGTTTTGCAAGATTCCCAAATAACATATGTGATGGAATTAAAACCATCAACGCTTACCTTTTTCTTTTCATTGCTTATTAATCTGAAACACTGAGTTTGACCTGTAGCAAAAACGTTCCTTATTAAAATAAACGGCTTTTTGTTGAGCAAGCTCCATCACAGCCACACAATCAACCTCTGTGTTTAATAAGCACGCACTCATTATGTTAGGGCAGCACAATATGATGTGCAATATCAGTGTTTAATATTGCGATGACAATAGGACTTTGGATAATTGAACAAATATTTAAGTAGGCAGTGTTGATGTTCTTCTGCTCTGGGTTCAGAGCATAAAAGCAACAACTAACAGGGGTGTAGCACCAAATTCTGGGCCGTACACTCTCGTTGTCAGTGGGCCTCTATGCATGACAGTGCACGAGGTGCATAAATAAAAAAAGGGGTATTCTTTTAAATAAAGAAGCATAAATAGGATTTTAAGCTACAATCAGATCAGATTATGAGTGGTTCTTTCATTCACCAGCTGAATTGATGCATTTGGCCTACCTGTGTTCAAATACCTAAAACATTTTGCTACATCTGGTTTGTGTACTAATGTTGTGATCCATGACACTATAGCAAAATTTGATTTAAAATCATTTATTCTTGAACTTTAGACAAACATTTGTTACATGACGTGTGCTCAGTTTAACTGTCTGTACTCATCATAAAATGATCACCAAATGTTTCTTTTGTGATGCAATAAAAGTCAAACCATATTAACTGAGATTATGTTCACCTTTATTAAACCATGTAGTGTATCAGCCTTTATACTCACTGAGAATACAGTTTGACAACCAGCCATTGTTTCATGCAACAGACACATACAGGTGGAGCTCTACAAGTGTGTTTATCCTCTCTGACAGGAGCATCAGAAAACTTGTAATGTGCGTAAAGGACTCACTGGAGGGGGGTCTGGGGGTCCTCCCCCAGAAAATTTTGAATAAAGTATTATTACTATTTCCTGATTTCTAACGTATTTTAACAGGTTGTTTAAGATAATTTTAATTACACAAATAAAGACTTAATTAGACAACTAGAGACAGATTCTTCATTAAACTAGTTACATTGTCCTGTTCTTAAACTCACGTATGGCTCAGATAATTAAATGAATGTGATAATTTATCTCAAACAGGCGGACTCCGGGACTTGCAGCAGCTCTGATGAGGCGTATTGACCACACCAAATTGTTAATATTTAAAAGTTGTAGAGCGACTGAAACTTTTAACCAGCTGAACAGGCCAGCCAGTCAGCAGGCAGACCACGGGAAACCTCCCAGTTCTGTCTGTCCGGGTCTGCCCGCAGCTCCTTCAGCTGTGTCTGGGTTACACACTTCCTTGTTGCTGTCGGGCGGACTAAACCATTTTGCGTCTCCAAGAGGGGGGCCCCCCAGAATGTCCAATATGGTGTGGACAGTAAAATAAAGTTCATTCTCAGCTTATATTATCAGTATATTTGAAATAAATTACTTCACCAAGTAATTGAAGGGCCCATTTCATTTGGGAAAAAATAAATAAATAAAATCAGGACTTCCAAGGGCCCCTCTCCCTTCATGGGCCCTGGGTAGTCAGGTCCACATTTCCCCCCACTTCCACACCCATGACAACTAATGCATCATTTCCATTCCAACAGGGCAGTTTTATTTTTTTTTTAAATTGCAATTAGACACAGTTGCTTTAATAGCAGGGAAACAAGCATGCAATACAGTTTCTTAATGACTTTAAAACATTCTCCCCCATTAAACATTTTCTGATGCTTTAAATACTGAAGAACGTCCATTACTATCATTTTTTAAAGGAGCAATATCATATAAAATCAACTTTTTGGAGTTTTATATCATGTTATAATGTTATCCTCTCATCAAAAACATGCCCAAAGTCTTGCTTTGACTCATTCATGCATGTTTGAGGAAATCCTGTAGTGTCCTGAGGCAGCAGGCAGGGGAGCAAAAATGACCAGTTGGGACTAGAACCGCCTTTTGGGACGAGCTCCTCCTCTGGGCTGTGTCTCCAAACCGAGCTTCCTCATCACAGAGCACATCCACCTGTCCCAATGCTGAAATGGGCAAGACAGAAGCTGAAAGAGGTTCTTAAAGAGACAGAGGACAATTTCAAGGCGTTTATAAACAGATATGATGAGAAGTCACGTTTATTTTCTTTTTAAACATATTAAAAGCAGTTTAATAACATGACATAGTTACTTTTATTATGGTATAGATTTTAAATACAAAATATTGCCCCTTTAAAATAAACAATAAAAACATCTGAAAATTGCTTGTCTAACATTTTCTCCACTGACCAAGTGGTTATGATTTAATGTGGTATCTCAGGTCCATTTTGTTTATCAGGCTGATGCTGACAAAATGCACAAATGCAAACATCTGAGCCAACCATTTACTGCAGTGTACACAACCTTTTTTTTGTGATATGCTATTGCACAGGTTGTTTTTGCAATGACAATACATTTGCGTTATATTTTGCAGCTCTACACGTCTACACAGCTCTAAACTGCAGTATATATACTGCAGTTTAAGTCAACACGTGTAAGCTTTATCAGTTATTGACAGGAATAAGATATTGACCCAGTCTCTAAGAGGGGCTAAAAAGAAAACACAGCAGCTAAATAACTATCTGTTTTTATTGTGTAAAACGCAACATTTAGTTCTCCTGTCAGTTGGGTTTACCAACTCAGGAAGTGTGACAAGAATGTTGCATTTAATCTATCGCCACTTTTGTTAACATTGCAGACCTCAAGATTTTTTTTTCAAAAGACTAAGCAGGAAGTTTAAAGAGAGAGAGAGCTTTGTCACTATGTGGCAATGCAGCCATTTTGTCATACTTTCTCATCCTTCCTATGACAATGATGATGTTGAAGAGCAAACTTAACAAATGTTTAGTTGCTTTACAGAACGTTGCTAATGTCTTCTGGGCAAGACACATTCCTAACCTCATCTCTCATCATCCAGAGCAATCGAATGTACTAATGTCCTCCTCTTACCATGTGATGTGATGTAATCTGATTGTAATTACATCCATAACTTGTTCATTTGGCATCCGAAATAACCCTGGTGAAAACATCTTGGGTCAGGGTTCGGTATTGGTCATAAAATCTAAATATAATGCTCCAAGAGACTAAGTTGTTTTGCAGAGCTGTGCGGTCGCTTGTCTGGCAAGAATACACACTTGACTAAGAAGACTGAAAACGGAGTGGGTGCAGCTTAGGTGAGAGAGTCTGCTATTGAGACTGTTCATGTTTTTTTTGTGAAACGATGCAATATTTATGAATAAGATATCTGAATAGAATTTGTGTTTAATGCTTTGTCCAATGTTTTCAAACGAGAGCTGTTTTACTTTCCCCAACTCTTTGCAARGTCTGTAATGACACAGCTAAAAACCACACCAGCATTTACCAGCATGTATTACAACTTAGTAATCACAGGCTGTGTTCATCCTTTCCTCTTTATTCCAGCTCAGATTTTATCTCTTTTTTTTTCTGAAATCATCATGTTTCTGACTCTCCCTCCTCCAGCACACTCCATGTTTATCTTTTTTTTCTGAGCGAGACCAGTTCAGCGCAGTGTAAGACTGCGCTACTGGAGAAAGTGTTGACTTTACTGCACAGACTTGTGCTCTGTAGGGGAGCAGACTGTTATTTATGGCTCAAGGCCTCGTGTGATTGGCTGCCGAGGGATATAATTATGTGTGGCACTTGTAAGAATTAGAATAGGTTTCATGTTGAGTTGACTTGTTGCTGGGTTACTAAGTGAATATAATTTCGACAGGTTTTCAAACAATTTTCTTGTGTACTTATGGTCAGCTCATAAAACAAAAGTGTTAGTCAACATTGACTAAAGGTCTATTCTTTAATGATGTCAGAACTGCGTACAGTGCGTAGCGCTGTGTTTAATCGTAGGAGCTAGAAAAGCGTYGGAAATGTTTTTGTAGATGTGTTGCTTCACAAAAAGAATGAACATTTCTGAGAATTTGATAGAAGCCAGTTCCTCTCCTAAATGATCTGATATCAACAAGTGGTCTTGTGGTTAGGGCTGTGTTCACACAGGAAGAAGGCTCCTGGTTTAGCTGTGGCTTTTTTTTTTTTTTTGCGCATGTTCTCGCTGCATGCTTTTTATGAGTTTACTCCAGGTCAGGGATAGTCGATCCCGGTCCTCGGGGGGCCGCAACCCTGCACGTTTTTACTTGTTTCTCTGCTCCAACACACCTGATGTGAACGAATGGATGATTTTCAGGCTTCTGCAGAACTTGGAAGAGGTTATTCACTGACTGAATCAGGTGTGTTAGAGAAGGGGGAAAAGGTAAAAAAGGCAGGTGTAAAAATGCATGAATGGTTGGATGATATTGGAAAAACAATGGATGGTAGACCGAATAAAATGGGTGTGTGAAATTAGTCGTTTGAATGTTGTGCAGCTCATTAAAAATACCACGAAACTCAATAAATAAATAAATAAATAAAACACTTCTGTGAAAAWAAGACCTTTCTACACCAAAAGAGTTAACAAAAATTGCAGCAGACTCTCTGTCCTCACTATTCAGGGTGGTCGGACAGGGACCTTGAAAAGGCTAATGGGATTATGCCAGTCTGAATGGATCTTTTCTGGTGTGTGTGTGTGTGTGTGTGTGTGTGTGTGTGTGTGTGTGTGTGTGTGTG